ATGTTTAAAATATTAAAAACTTACGGACTTCCTAATGTTTTTAAATATAAAAATACAATAATCGCGAAATTCACGAATTCGAAGATCCTTTAACTCCAGTGACAGCCAAACTGTTTAACATGGCTAGACCTACAGTGGCTGTGCAACTGTCAAACAGCTGTAAAACGCGTTGCCATAAAACACATCGTGCCTCTCGCTCCCACGCAATGCAACGCAGGCTGTCTCGCTCTGGCAGGCCGTCGGCGGCCGCTCTCCCGCTTGCTCTCCGGCGAATTCGGACAAAAACAAACCATTAAAAGCGCGGCGAAGAGAGCGCGTGCACTTGTCTGTCAAGATTATGGCGGTTTCAGTCACTTTCTTGCTGTGTGAGTTCCTCGTTTTTTTTATTTTGTGACTTTTCGTTTTATTATTTTTGCAGCGACGGCGAATAAGGAGGAGACGAAGAAGAAGAGCGCCGACGGCAACTCCTATTTTTCTTCATGTGCCATTTTTTGTTGTTTTTGGCTTACTGCTTTTTTGCCCTTTTTTGTTGTCTTTGAAGCTTGAGTGAGTGAGTGAGCCGGAGAGCGAGCGAGATGGCGCCACATCAAGTTGATATCGTGTCGTCGTCTTCATCTTTTGCTGTCGCTCGTCGTTTGCGTTTGATAAATTGCGTTTATAAGAAAGAGATGAATTGTCATGCACACAACACACACTTCTCTGCCGGCGTTGGCGTCGACGCTGGCTGCGCTGCCGGCGTTAACATCACTGTAATCGTGTGCGAGTGTGTGTGTGCGTCAGTGTTTAAATCATATTGGCTGCCCCCCAATTGGCATGGGTGTGTGTGTGAGCTTTCTCTCTCTCTTCCCTCTCTTTCGCTCGTCTGGGATTGGAAGTTTCCAAATGCAATTTTCCTTGAGGTTTTCCCGAGTCAATTCCTTTTCGGCTTTCTTCTATTCATTTTTTTCGTTTTTGCACTCGGCGGGTGGAGAGACCCAGCCCCCTAAATTCGCTCTCTTCCCCTCTTTCTCCTGACCCATCTCCGTCACTCCTTTTTTTCCTTTTTTTTTGGTGATTTAAATTTCATGGTCCCTTCAATTTGGCAAAGTTCTAAATATTAAATTAAATTCCTGATTCATTTGGGAAAATTCTTGAGCTTTTCTTGGATTGTTTCTGTTTTTTTTTTGGGTTTTTTTTAAAACAAGTTGAATGTCTTTTTAAAAGGTAAAATGTGTTCCTTTGATAAAAGAATTTAATTTAAATATACATAAAAAAAATATTTTACCTAAAACAAAAAAAATTTCTTAAAATTGTTTTAATTTTTAAAACTAATAAAAACATGATTATTAAATTAAAGAGAACTCATTTCAAATATAACAAATTATTATTCAGCTCTATTTATTTTCTTGGAAATTTGAATTATCTCCCCTTATCAATTTTAATTGAAAGAAAAAAACATTTTTCCCATGCTAATTCTGTGAAATTTGACAGATTCCGAAAACGGCTTATCAATTCCGAGTAATTTCAATGTAATTTCATTGGGATCCTTGAACTTTCCTACCGCATCGATCGATCTGTGGTTTTTCGAATTTAATTTGGTCATCAGACCGAATAGTTCCCACACTTGAAGCGTTTGCCTAATTTATTGCATTTAATTGATTCGATTTTATGTGATTTTCGTTTCACATAAATTACTCGATTTCTGGGCCCCGAGAAGCCGCACAAAAGTTTGCAAGTCGAAAAAAGCCAAAATGAAAAGAAAACGAATGGCGAACCGAGAAAAAAGAAAAGAGACAACCGCAAATCAATCAAAGTCTCATAAATTTGTCAAAGTGTTGACAAGACACAGACCTCCTATATCATAGTTCCCATCCCATGCCCAAGATATTTCGGGGGATTTCGAGGTGGCCAAATACTCAGATGCCAGAGATGAAATGGCAACCAGATTAAGTGCAACATCATCTTTTTGACCAGCGAAAACAGACACGGGAAATCCTTTTGGCGAGCGTCGGAAAACAAACAAGGCTATTTTTCATTTTCCTAAAAACGCCGGCCAAAGCGCCCCATCTCTGTCTCCCTCCCGCCCTACTATCTCCCTCTCTTTCGTCGTAATGGCAACTGCAGCGCCAAGCCAAAAATACGCTGGTGAAAAATTGCCTGGGAATATGTGTTAACTGCTTTTTAAACTGCCACGAGGACGACGACACGACAGCAACAATAACAGCAAAAATAGAGGGGATTTCGGGACGAACACGAAGATTGCAATACCCTGGATTGTAGGGATATAGTAGATCAGGGATCAGGTATAGATTTGGCGTCAGTATAAAAACAGGAAGTACTACATGTTTTACATTTTTGTTAGATAGATTTTTTGCAAACTAAACAGGAAAAAAATTTAAAAAAAATCCCTAGCTCCCTAGTCATTTTAAAAGACCAATTTAATTCCGCGTATATTGGGAATGTCAAAAGGAAGAAGAAGAAATTGCATTTAAAGAAAGGATAACCGTCAAAATCGTTTTTAAATTTGTAAGAATTTGCAGATTTATCTGTTGATATAGAAATAGATCGGTTTTAAACTTTGTACGATTTTCCAAATTAATATATAGAAATGGGTGTATTTGCTTGAAGGGTCAGTTTTTTACTTAAGTTGTCTTTTATTAATTGCCAAAAATAAAAAAACTTTCAATTGGTATTTTTAAAAATGTATTTTTAAAATTTGAAATGAAAAAATCACCAATGCATTTAGCAAACATTTTAGAAACATTTTGAAACACTTTAAACATATTTTAAGAAAATGAAAGTTTATTTCTCTGCAAAAAAGGATAATTAAATAAGTCAACACCTTAGCAAACCAGACATTTCTTTAAATTTTCCTGCCTAAATTTACTAAGATATTTTAACCGAAATTGCTTTTCTGTTAAAGTTAGGATCCCATTTTTGTAGGGTATTGCAAGTCAAATAAAAAAGCGCAGAGTCGCCAGACAGGAGCGCAGAATGACCTGCAGGATATGCAATTTTTGGTGAATGTTTTTGGCAATTTATCGCCGTGCCAATTGTTGTTGAGTGTGAAAAAGAGAGGGAGAGAAACAGAAAGAGAGGGCGAGCGCCAAACAGCTGTTTGTTGTTGTCAGGATCGCGTATCCTTCCAAAGTGGCCAGATCACCGTTACAAAGCAAAAAGGAGAATCAAAAAAGGAAACTGCAGCGAAAAGTTTGTTTTTGTCGTCGCCGCTTCTTCTTCTTCTCCTTACAGTTTCTTCTCCCCTTTTTTTTGCCGCTTTTCTTCGAAGGCGTTGCCTATTCGCGCGTAAGTGTGCGTGCGTCTGTGTGCAAGCACGAGTGTGCCAAAAGAGAGCGAAATGTTGAGCGAAAGCTGATGGACAACTGTTTGTCTTTCAACCTGTGTGTAGTGTGCAAAGTAAAGGTGCGGCGAAAGAGAGCGCCGAACCGAGCCAAACTGCCACTCAAGCGAAAATAACAAATGGGATTGGTTTTTGCTGATTTTCGACGCCGACAGCGACGCGGGCAGAGGAGAAATACCCATAAGCCGTCTCCTTTTGGCCAAAGCCAAATAAATTTCAAACGCGGCGAAACATTGCGCAAAAAGAGGCGAAAACTGTAAAAGACCCAAACGGAGAGGGAGAAGGAGAGAGAGAGCGAGCGCGAGCGGGAGTGAGAGAGAGGGAGCGAGCCCGAATGTGCATGTGAATGACAAGTGTGTGCATGACAGAAGAGGCGTACCAACAAATCAGTCATCGTCGCCCAGGACGCGAGAGCGCCTGCGCTCTCTCGCCGCGCCCGCAATTCGCCGGAGCGTGCGCATAAACAATACGGTCGGGTCGGTTAATCCATATATTCCTCTCGCTTGCACCCGCTGAGTTATGGCCACGGGCGAGTTAATGGCACAATTGTTGCATCTGAGCCAGAGAGAGCGGGCGAGCAGGGCAGCGACATGATTGACAGTCATGCCGCACCGCTCGCACCCACGGCCTTGCTGTTGCACTGTTGCTCTCCGCTGTTAGTTAACAGCGCTGTTAGCCGGCCAAAGGCGGGTTGCTTTTTCGTCCAAATGGGTTGCTTTTTCCTCTAAATATCTTTCATCCGCACAGTGTATTTTTGACTGCGAAGCGCGTACGACGTGTGTCTGTGTTGCGTTCCGTTCGAATAAAAAGAAGAGAGGAAAAGCGAGAAGCGTTGCCGTCGGTGAAGTTTATTATTATTATTATTGCCGTTAACCACGCGTTTTGCTAAAACGGATAGCCACCATCGATCAGCGAGTATAAATGTAACAACAAACACTGGGAAATCGCGCGCGTTTTTTCCATCGCGCGAGCAGTTGCATACGTTTTTTGTGTGTGTTTTTCGAAACTGAAAAATCTGAAAGTACCCATTTCACACCAGCAGCAAAGGCCAAATAAATACTACTATTCGTGGGCCGCGGAGGGAATTTCTTTGAACGAGGGGATCCCGCCGATCCCCCCGCAAGCAAAAGAAACCAAGCTAAATTGCCGTCGCAAAAACACCATACATATTATATTATTTTAACGATATAATTTGTTCATCTCTAGTAACGTAGTATGTAGAAGCAGCTGTGATAAATAGTGCGCATATTATACGAAAAGAAGCAAACAGAGTATACGACAAACAAAAATTAATAAAAAGCAACTACAACTACTACTAAAAAATAACCAAGGAAAAGGGAAAACTCGATGAGAGAAAGAGGAAAATAAGGAAATCGCCATGGATTTATGACAACAACAAAAATTTATGACAACCCAAACAACAAATGATGTTGCAACAACAACAACACACGAGTATACCAAGAAGAACAACAACAACTGCAACGGCAACTAACAACAAATTGTATACGATTTTTATAAACCAAACAAAAACAAATTCTATGTAAATAATTATTATAACATAAAAAATACGAAACAACAAAAAACATTCAAAAAACAGATCTCCCGCTTAAAAAACAACAAACGCGCGCGTAACAACAACAACAACAATACAACAAGTATACAAACGTAATAATAATACATAAAATCTAAACAAATGTGCCTGTGTTAAAACAAAAGAAAGAAAGCAAAATAAAGAAGCAAAGCATTCAAAAAGCAGAAGCTTCCGAAATAGATGTAAAAGTGCAAAACATACATATAAACCCAAACCCAAGAAAATCAAACCTTTAAACTGAAAACTCAAAAAACCCAAGAACTGGAAAAGAACAGAAAAATAAGGACTCCAGAAACGGACAGCTACAGTAGAGCTTCCCTAAAACAGAGAAGCAGTTGAAGCGGCGGAGCGGGACGTCGGTCAGTGTGTTGCGCCCCCATTTGTTGTTTCTACTCCAAAAGTGGCACAAATCGGGTTAGACGTCGCTCCCAGAGCATTAATGGCTCAGCCCAGGGTAAGTAGATCCCGAAACTATATAGAATAACATATAGGCAGGTCCTCCAGAGAGTGTTGTTATCCCAAAACAAGTAGCGACGGCTAAATAGTCGGTTATTTAAGGCAATTTACTATCAGGTTAGGAAGTCAAAAAGGCCGTCGGCACTAATAGGTATTAACTTAAAAACATTTTATATCAGTTTCAAGCAAACTATGGTCAATAGTCTTCATAAAAATGCCTAAATTATCAAAAATACAAACCTAACTATAAATATTTTCAATTTTCTTGGTCAAATTGTGGAGTTTTCTTATATATAGCCCCAAACACTCCTAATTTAACCCATTTTAATCAATTCAATGGGGAATACAGTTCTTATTTATTAATAGAGCCCTATCAAAATGAATTTTAACCAAGAACTTGTGAGTGTGTGTATGTGTGATGGAGGAGGAAATTTGATTTATGCGGGTCATTTTCCCCGTACAAGTTTATGTAATTAACTGGGTCTAGAAAAAGTCTGTGAAAAAGTGATGGGTGTTATTGGAGCAGTAAAATAACGAAATACTTAAAAAGTTTTTTGTGTTTTAGGTTTTATTTGGTTTTTTTAGTGAAACAAAACAGTATAATTTTGTATTCCTAAATACAAAAATACTATTTATGTTAGCGAAAGCCACTTAAAAAAATTATAATTAATGGATCTTTAATGTTCCTGAGTGTAATCTTATGAATTACTATTTCTGCAATACAAGAAAAGTAATAAAAAAAATACACAGTCAAAGGTCAAAAGAGTTGAATTAGCTCTTGGTATTTAAGAACTATCAACTATTCCACAAGACTACTCACTTTCGCACCACAAATATTTATTAGATTTTTTGTATAAACATTTGCTCGGACCTTCACCTCCAAAGAGCCCCCTGCTGGAGATCTCCCGATGTTTCCACCATTTTCCATCACGTTTATAAGGCATAAATTCTCGCCTCAGTTTAAACGGAGTAATAATTTTTAACAATCCATCTGGATCATAAATTATATGCTAATCAGGTGACCGGCAGTCTCCGCCCTCCTTACCTCTTCAAAAAAATGGAAATATTATTACCAAATCGCAGTTAGACTTTATCAATTGATTATCATGGACATGCGAAGTGAACTTGATTTTTATTTAACGGAGCAAAAAGACTTCAAACATGGATGGCTATGTGTGTGTTACCAATTAGCAAGTGTGTGTGTGTTACCATGCTCTTTGGGAGCATTCAAAAAAATAATAATAAAAAAATCAAAATGAATGAAGAGAAAAAAAAGAAAAACGAAATGCCCGCGGGAATTTTGAGTGCCGAATAAATTTACGCTTGTGGTTTAATACCCGATTCTCTACCGAATCCACCTCTTTTGAACCCCCTTTTTCGTAATTCTCCTGCGGCTCTTTTTCCCGAATCGCGCCATTTCAATTCCATCAAATGAATTTTTCGACTCGGGGCAAAAGAGATATATGTATATATACGGGTATTCTGTCCGTCCGTCCGTCTGTCCGTTTGTCTGTGTGCATTTGATGCATATAATTTTATTGCACATTTTGCACATTGCCAGCGGGCCCAAAAGCGATCCATTCAGTTTCTCCCGCTTCGCGGTTTTATTATTTACAATTTTATTTTTACCATTTTCCATGACTTTACTCTGCTATAATTTGCGAAAAATGGCGGGAAGCAATTTTCGCGGGTTGTTCTCGCCTCTCTTCTCTTCCCACATGCCCAATGCCTTTTTATATATATTTAATTTGATTATTTTATGCCGTTCGAAACAGAGAGAGAGCACGAGAGACCGAGAGCACGGGGAAAAAAAATGTGCAATTGCAATTTGTATAAAAATGTGCATTGCAGCTGCTGCAATGTTGCCCCCTTCTTCCGTACACCTTCCCTGCATTTTGCCATTTTTCAGCTCGTGTGCCATTTCAAACGCCTGCAAAATGCAGCACAAAAATTGTTTTGGTGTTATTTTAATTTAAAGGTTAACCGCAGCGTAATTTGTGGCATAAAATATAATTCGTCTATCGTGCGGCTCTCGCCTCTCTGTTTGCTCGCATAGTTTTTGTGTTCGCCTTTTTTTTTGGATCGCTTTAGAAATAAAATCAAAATAGAAAAGATCAAGGAGAGTGGAGCAGCGGAAAATGCCACTGTCGATGGCTGTGGTTTACTTTAGTGGCCGACAACATTTACCAAAGTTGATGGAAACATTGGGAATTTGGTTTAGTTGCTAGCACAATTACATGTTTTGGGCAAAAATATCATAAAGATGCGATTTAAAAGTAATATGCTAAATGCTATTTAATTGTACCATTTAATTTAAGAATGTTTTTTTTTAAATAAAATCTAAAAATATACTGTCGGAAATTAAATAAAATTTAGGGAAATTCCGTTTTAATAATCCCAATCCGAAATACGTCAGCATTATAAATAATTTTTTTTCCGGAATGGTCCTTATCAATCTGAAGAATTTTGTAATCTTTGTTAGCGACCCATTCTTTTCTAATTAAGTAAGCAATTCTTTGTTCTACACAGCTTCCTCGCATGAGTCACGGCTCCAGAAAAGAGTTCCCTGGTTATCTGGAGATTTGCAGATATATCTTGGGTTTTTTTTTTGTCCGTTGAGAATTCGCTCTGCAGACGCTTCACATGCCAGCGAAAATTGAGCGAGTAGGAAGCGTCAGGCTGAGAGGAATATTTATAAACAAATTACATATGCATATTTCTGCAAGCGGGAAGGGGGCCTCCATAAGACTCTATATGGGGCCAATATGATGGGGCCTCCACTTCTCCTTCTCCTTCACCATCTCAACCTCCAGCCATCCCATGTTGTTTTTCGTGTGCTAAAGAGCTTCATGTTTAATGATCAAATTGCGTGCCTGATTCTTGGGTCGGTGCCTGCTGGTGCTATATAGTTGTTGCTTTTGTTGTTATAGCCTATAGAGTAGTATTATTATTTTTATTTTCTGCCTTACTATACTACACATAGTTGCCAAGTTTTTGACGAGGTCGCTAGCTTAGTGGCTGCCGTTGAAAGTGTTTTCATTAGTTTCATTTCTTTTTACATTTACGCTTAAAAGTTTTTTAAATATCTCCGACTCTTTGTCGTAATTTCCCCGTACATTAAGTCAAAGTGTTTCGCTAATATTCGTCGAATAAAATGAAATTACGGTTTTTTCTTATTGGTAGAAAACTCTTTTTTTTTGGGGGGCTATCCATCTATACCAAAAAAAAATTGCCTTCGTGCGGGGCAGAGAAAGAAAAAGTGTACAGACAAAAATGTGTTATAAAGTAGAGGAAAAATCATTTAGACAAGTTGCACGCCGCTCATTAAATTAAATGAGCCATCAGCACGCAATTTATTTTCGTATTTTTGAGTAACTTTTGGCCTCGGCCAGGAGACGTCGGCTAAAATGCCAAACTCCAAAAGACTTTTGTTTCTTTCCGCTTGGAATTTTGTTCGGAAAGTTGGCCAAGTCCTCGGCGCAGAGCAATTTAATTAAATGGCTGGCAAACCGGGATTTTGTAGATAGTTAATTTAGACTGGTAAAACAATTGCCAACAGTATATTTTTCTTTATTTAATCAATTTTTTGCAATTTAAAGTAATTCCAATTAAAATGTTCTTTGTTTAATACCATTTTAAATGTTCCTCAATTTATTTTATTTAAATGTTGTGCTGCATTTTTTCCACAATTTCCCGTCAATTTCAATTCAAACATTTTCCTTAAATTTTAGCCCATTAAATTGTCTTTGCTTTCATTGCTCTTTAAATTCCCAGAAAGCAGCTAAAAATATATTTTTAAATTCCTTTAAATTTCTTTCGATTTTTTTTTGATTCGATATTTTTGTGTGTAGCTTGTAGCCTTTTTTTTTGGAACACACGAAATTTGAATTTACCTTTTTGGACACATTTTTGTTGCTTTTACCCTGTTGGATTTTTGTTAATCATCTGCCAGTTTTTGTGTCTGTGAGTTTGGGGCTCATTTTAATTTAATAAATGCCACGGACTGACGTCATTTGTTGTTGATTTTTGATAAATGTTAAAATGCCAAAGAATTCATTTATATATTTTTTTTCTCCCTTTGGTCGCTTTCAATTTGGCTACCGAGCATCTAATTTTTCTGCTTTAAATTTATGCATATATTTCAGTGTTCTTTTTTCCCCGCTTGTGTTAAGTATTTGTTTTTAGACATAAATTAAATGAAAGATACAAAAAAGAAAAAAATAGCGCACGTTTTCGACTGTTGTTAAACCCCCTTTCAGCGTTTGATGTTTGCCTGCTCGATAATATTGTTATTATAAGCAATAAAAGTTAATAATATCGCCTAGGATGAAGCGTGTTTTCTAAGTTTTGTTTGGCAATGTTGCAACTGTAAATTAAAATAACACCCAGGCACGCAACAAAAATTAATTGTCTAACACCAAATAAAACTTTTGAGGCCGCCAAAAAAAGAGAAAAAATACTGGGCGTGACTTTGTTCATCGGGGGTAGGAGGCGTGGCAGTGGGACACACCTACAACAGCGGCTCGTCTGCTAATTAAGCAAAGCCAAAGCCCCAGAAAAAAAAGGGGAAAGAATTATAGAGAAATATATAGGGAAGAAATGGAAAGAAATTCAAATACAACATGATAAACAATTAATTTTGATTAGGCCTTCGACCGCGCCAGCGCAATTAAGAACGGCTTTTGTTTTTTTTTTCTTGTCGATTTTATTTGGGCTATAAAAATACCAAAAATACAATAAATAGAAAAGGCGAAAAGCAAAAGTGTTGAGGGGCCAAAAAAGAACGCAAGAAATCAATAAACGAAGTCGCTTGTACAACAAACATATTGAGGGCTTTAACGCGGGGAAAGTGGGTGGTCTATATGGCTATATGACTATGTACGTATGTATAATGGCGGCCATTGTCACCATTTTGGCCAAAACAGACACACACATATACACTCTATCTCTGTCTCGCATTTTTGGTCTGGTTGCATTTTTGCACTCATAACTCTTCTGCCGCTGGCGTCTGGTTTTTGGTCAGTTTTAGGCGCCGTTAGATAAAGCCCACCCACCCCCTCACCACCTTTTAAAGGCCTCCCCCGTTTCGTAAAATGTCCTTGCTGTGCGACCATTTCCGGTACCTCTATGGGTTTTTGTTTGGGCAAACATTTTCAGTTTCAAGTTCACGCAGTTTCGTAGCTTTAAGCTAAAATTTGCAACTTTTTTCAATTCTGGTATTTTCTAGTAATTTTTCTTCAACAAGAAAGTTATATATATCACAAATAATACTTATTAAAGTCCTTATAAGCCAACTTAGACATGTTAAAGTCGGAATTCCCAGCTCGAAGCACAAAATCTGCATATTAAAGCTCTGCCTGAGAAGTCCAATTGAGTTGTTGCTGTTTAGTTGGTAGGCTGGCTTTTAGCAATGACTTAATGTGGCCCAAACACGACAAAAACATACCAGAAACCGGCACACAAACAGACAGCAAGTGGGACAAGAGCAGGAAAACGCAGGAAAACTCCCCCGAAAAAGGCTGCTCCAAAAATAAAAATAAAAAAAAGCAGAAACAAAATCGTAGCTCCTTCAGCGCCTGTCACTGACAGTTTTGAGCACCACCACCCACTTTTAGCCCACTGTTCTCGTTGTTGTTGTTGTTATTGTGGCTGCCATGGGGGGGCGTCATAAATTTTTGAAGGATTTTCGACGCTGAACTTGTCAAAATCAGACCATGGGCCTCAACTGTTTTGGTGGTTGTTCGGATGGTTTGGCTTATATTGATCCGCTTGGCCAAGAGCTTTTCCATTCAACAAGGTCAATGGCTTGGTCACTAAACAACAGAGAAAAATGGGGAAAAATACAGAGACAGAGAGTGAGATAGGTATACTATGGCCAACATCAGAGATCATCAATCAAAGTTGGCCCAAATGGTTTGGGTTTGGGGAGTTGTACCAAAAACAAAAAAAAAACCGAAAACCTAAGTGTATTTGCCTGTTCGATTTTTACTCCTCATTGTGTTGGTGTTTTTTTTCTTGGCTCTTCTCTACGGCATCTCAAATTCCCACATTACTTATGTACAAGTACAAATTGTGGTAATTTTCAAGATCTCTTTGTTGCTCCACAATTTCCTCATTTCTAAACGAACGAACGAAACGCGAACGCCAAGAAATCGAAACGGCGGGGAAAAAAAGCAAAAATAAAGAAAAAGAGCAGCATTCGGTTTGTGCCACCAACACTAAAATTAGCATAACAACTTTATAGTTTAACAGCCATGAACTGAACCCCAGCGCGAAAAACCAAAAAAGCCAGGCCAAGCCAAGCCAAAACGAACTGACTAAACCCGGACAACTTGGTAGTATCTATGAGTTTGTATCTCGTGCATGTGCACACACAGAGAAGCACACCAAAGTCAGAAACGGAGGCAGCACGACCGCCTCACTAAACTAATCTCTGGTGTGTATCTCAAGGATTGCCAACCTCAAAGGTTGACAATCGTCGACGCAGAAGCTTATTTTGTTCCTCTTACATATATATATATCTTTAGTTTTGAGCCACCTGCAAAGACAGCTGCCTTATGACTGGCACTGCACTATTTCCAAAGTATAGATATAAGGATCTGTGATCCAGCTGCAAATCCTTGACATTTTCGCCAAACTCACTTCCCCCACTTCCCATATAACGAACAGAAAAAAAAACCCTCTTCTCTCAACGGCAAGTCAATTGCTCATTTAGTGTCAAAGATTTTTCCAGGCTGATAAAAAATCAACCTCAACTTGTTTTGGCGGGGCAAAAGGGGGGACGGTACCACATCACATCTCTTGTCGCTGCACAAAAATCTTTTTGTCAACTCTTCTCTTCTTCGTGTGTTCCCTCAAATTATGCAGTGTGAAACGGCGAGGAGAAGTGTGTATCTCCAGTCGACGCCACTTGAGTACAAATGATAAAAATCTCACACACAGCGTTGAACTTTTGTAAAAATAAAATGAAGAAAAATAATAAGAGAAAAATAAGAAAAATCATTTCTCAGTTGTTTGGTGTTATTATTATTATTGTTGCACAAAACCGGTTCGCAATTGCGCGGCTTCACAAAATGTTGTACAACTTTAGCCGGAGATAGAGAACAGCAAACAGACACACTCGAAAATGCCTGGACAGATTAACTGATAATATTCAAAATTGTCTGCTGCTTTTGGCGCTTAATTAATATGCAAAAAACGTTGAAAGACAAAAGTAAGGTAACCGAAATGTATAGAAGCACAGCTGTGTGTATATCTATATCTATATAATTTCGAAGCAGCGGCAAAGTAATCACAAGGTCGTTATTTGTTGCTGGGGTTTGTCTTCTTTTTTTTTTATCGGCATGTTCTTCTGGCCGAGAGTCTTCAATTTAGAAAATGTATTTAAATATGTGTGTTTAAAAAAGATTTCATGTCGCCGCTAAATTGGTTGCACTTAGAGAAAGAAGGGGAGTAATATAATAATAATAAATATAATGTAATAAATATATTTCAAAATAAATCACTAATATTTTAATATATATTTTGTAAAAATAAGTGAAGAAAGAAATTAAAAATTTCAAAAATAATTTTTTTTAAATGTACATTAATGAAAACGGAAACAACACTCTCAGGATTTAAGGACCCTTTATAAAAATATTTATTTTCTGATCATTTTTAGTTGCATATTTTCCCTTTTTGCCCACTTAAAGCCCCCACTAATTTCTTATTTTTTCCTATTTTGACATTTGCAGTATGACGATGGCCTACACGGCTACGGCATGGACTCCGGAGCCGCCGCAGCGGCCATGTACGATCCACACGCCGGACACCGGCCGCCCGGACTGCAGGGCCTCCCCTCGCACCACTCTCCGCACATGACCCACGCAGCGGCGGCGGCGGCCACAGTGGGCATGCACGGCTACCACTCGGGGGCCGGGGGTCATGGAACACCTAGTCATGTATCGCCGGTCGGTAATCACCTAATGGGCGCAATACCCGAAGTACACAAACGTGATAAGGATGCGATTTATGAGTGAGTATAGTGTATAATGGCAAAACTAATGGAATTTTGCATTTACTAGAATTTAATAGAATTTAGTAGGGGTGGCAACTCTGTTCCAATGACCCAAGATGATCTTGTTGTTTGTCAAAATTCAGCTAGACTCTGATTAGGCTCGACTGAATGAATGAGGAATGTGGGAAACGACTTGAATAAACTAGCCTGTTCATTGCGCTGTCAAGTAGTCATTGATTAAAAGCAGAACATTTGAAGATCACTCAAAATGAAGTAAATACATTAATTACTGACATCTAACCTTGATCTGTTGTCAAGGCAAAAATAATATATTTAGGTGTGATTTTATGGGTATTATAATTTATTAGTAAAGTCCCAATCAATTTCCAATCGCTGGCCCTTTATCGATTTATAATTTTTGGCATGCTCGCAGTGATCCAACCCAAATTGCCACCTGTTTTCACCATAGCGCACGCGTATCTCGAAAATGATCCATAAAGAAACGATCCTTTTTTTTCTCATTTTAGAGACGGAGACAGGGAGAAATGGGCGTGATCCTCTTGCGTTTTGCGCAAAGTACAAAATTATGGGTTTGCCTTTTGCGGCTGAAACTGAAACTGAGAGACTCACACAAAAATGTCCGTTTTCCAATTCTATCTTGGGGGTGTGTCAGGTGTTTAGTGACGGACACGGAACATGAACGTGCTTAGGCATTAGGGAGTCCAAAAAGACTGAAAAGACTCAACCCAAACGAAACGAAACCAACCGAACGAATCATCGAAAATGAGGTGCAGTTTCTCGCTCTGCGGTTCGGGTGTTAATTTGCCAAAATTGTGGTTTCTTCTTCATTTCGGTTTTTGTGTCTTTCTTCAGGCTTTCAGTCATTTTTTAGAAGGGTTTTTTCTAACCCGATCCGAAGACTCGTAACCTTTTTATGTCATTGCGTGTCCTGACAATTTTCATGTGCTGCAACTGTTTTGCCAGCTGTCTGAGTGCCTGAAATGCTTGTTTGCCCACTTTTTTTTCGTATTCCCCCTGCATTTCATATTTTTTGTGCAAATATTTGCTTTGAAAGGGAATTTCATGAATGACTTATATGGTCTTCTTCAATCAGCTGTTTGATGACTGTTTGATGATTGTCCCTGTCTCGAGTGTCTGATCAAACACGACGACGACGATGAGGATGATGATTATGACTTCATTGAGCACCTGCCATTATGATTATTATTATTTTTTTTGGCACCTTTTTCCCAAATTCAAATTGAAATTATGGAAAAGGCAAGACAAAAGGGAAAGAGCTCTCTGTTTAACACCTTCTTGGCAGCAACTTCAGCTGCTCTTTTTGCCTGGTCATCGTAAATGAGTGTCAGGCGGTTTTATTTTAGCCTCTTTTCTGTTCTGCTCCTGATCCCAGGCCGAAAAACGCACTCAACTGTAAAAGGCTGAAAACTCCGACTCCGGGACTCTTATTAATAGTTTGTTAAGCGCAGGTCGACACCCCCTCTTTTTTTTGTTGGTCCGGTTTTTGTGCCATCTAATGGGTTCTCTTTCTGGTCAGGGGTCCCGCCTAATTTTGTTCAGGTGCAATTTGTACAGAAATTGAGAAATTGGTCTCAGGGCAGGGAAAAACTACTCCTGGCCTGGAGAATGGAGAACAAAAAATGGTCAAATCATGTTGAGTTGTTGAACTAATCCGTCAGCATGAAGAGGGGGATTATTTATGTGTGCATAAAGGCTAAGATACAGATATACAGATATAGAAACAGAGGGAAATACAGATGCAGATGGGAAAAACAGCTGCTCATTTGCATTTTGTTGGGCAGGAAATGTCCTGGGTTTTCGAAAGGAATCCAGGGAAAGAAAGTACTTTAAATATCTGGCTAAATGTAATAAGGTTTACTTTAAAAAAACATTTAATTTTTATAGAACTAAATAAATAGTAGAGTGATCTTCTTATGTTATTCATTTAATATTTATGAAAATTAATTTAAATTAAATTTTATTCTGTGGAAAATAAGATTCTGTTTTAATCTATAAAGTTGCAAGATTTATATTTGTCAACAGCGATCGATCTATAGATACAGATCGAAAGGCAGGTGCTCATTTGCATTTTGTAGGACAGGAAATGTCCTGAAATTTGACCAACTGATGTATTATGTATTTATTGTGCCATTTTCCCTTTGCAGACATCCGCTATTCCCGCTTTTGGCGCTGATCTTTGAGAAGTGCGAATTGGCTACATGTACGCCGAGGGAGCCCGGGGTGCAAGGTGGCGATGTCTGTTCGTCGGAATCGTTCAACGAGGATATTGCAATGTTCAGTAAACAGGTAAGAATAATGGCCTCAGCTTTCGATTCCCAACATTCGGTCGGTGGTAATTGGAGACGATCTCATTGAGAGAGTGGCGAGGAGTTAAGAGGGGAGTTTCGTTTCGGGTATCCATCCCATTCTCTAAAAAGGAATGGGGGGAACACATGGCCCACATGTGGCCACTAAATAAATATAAATGAAAATACAAATAAAAATAAAAATAAAGACAACAGCAACAGCAAAATCGCGGCACACGAACTTAACGAAGCAAGCCGCTAAATGATCGGATTACATTGCCCCGAGGATCGTTGAGGATCGATTCCTTCCCCTTCTACTTTCCCTCCATCTCAATGAGCGGGGCAGTCTGCACTTAATTACAGTTCCCGCTGACAAGAGCAACATCATCCCGGCAACCCGGCAACTGAGCAACTTTTCCCCCTATTCCCTCAGCAGCCGCAACAACATCAACAATGTCTTGATGCCATATGTCACAAATATGCGATGTGACTCCAGAATGGCGCTGCCCACACTTGACACTTCCTCTTGCTCTTGCTCCCGCGCCACGCCTCCTTTTTAGCGCCCCTTTTTTGAGAGTTCATAAAACCAAAGATACCCTGAAGATACTCTGCCACACACTGACATTTCGATAATTTACGATGTTTTAACATACAAATTATAATGTTGCAAGTAGCTGCTGCTGCTCCACATCCTGCTCCCTTATTTTCGTTAGCCAGCTATTTTTATGAGTCAGTGAAGATCACAGAATCCCAAAAAAATATACATATGACTCCATTCTACGCTTTGCGACAATTTTGGCAAACAACAAATGCAACAAGCGACGCCCCCGGTTAAATATTATAAAAATGATGTTCTTATTTATGGTCCATTTGGAATTTTGACAGGCCCCTGCTATGGGCAATAAAACGAGCGGCAACAACGGGAACCGCAAGAACAACATAAAACAACACTCGAAAACACCATCTCAGAGTCGAGCCACATTTATCTGTGTCTTTTTGGCTGGGTGAGATTTTGATAGACTTTTGTCAGATTGTCAATGAAATGTCACATAAAGTTTAGATAATTCTGGGTTCCCCATAACGCAACTGAAAAAATGATGGAAAAAGTCCTTTAAATTTGAAAACGTTCTAGTATTTATAGGAACTAATTAAGAATATATATTTCTGTCTTATAAAAACCCCTTTTTTATAAAAACCTTACCCAAAAAGTTAACGTATCTTGCTATTCTGCAAAACGATCTTCAATGATCCCATCTAGCGGTTGACATTTGTTGATCATTCACCGAACCGAACGTCAACAACTAAGTTGTCGCTTGCATTTCGTTTTTATTTCGCCTCGGTTCAGTCAGTCTCCGTTGAGTTTTCAGTATAGTTTTGGCTGAGTTTCGTTGGGATCTGCCTGCCACCGTCTTGGTTGTTTTCGTGGTTGTTTTCGTCGTTGTCGGACTGACAAAAATAACTCAAAAATGTCATTCGCCCATCGAATTTTAACAAACGAGCAGAAGAAACAGAGGAGCAGTTTTCTTCGCCCCAGAAGAGGGGCTAAAAATAAGGCATTGGCACTTTTTTACTCGTAGTTCAGTTGCTGTCTCTGCTGCTGCTGCTGCTGCTGCTTCTGCTTCTACTGATGATGATGATGATGCCGATGCATTTTATATAGATAGATTGCATAGATATATCTCTTCGTTGGCACTCTCCCGCTATGCTATATATATATTCACTTTAATTTGGACTAAGCAACTGCGTAAAATGCGCCACGCCAACGCCAGCGGCGGGGTGATATTTCTTTTTTTCCCTCATATCCACAGACCCATTCCCCAAAGTCCCCATATACTCACTTACTTATATGTGTATATCTCTTCTGGATGGCGGGCATAGTTAGGCGACTTTTGGTGTTGGCGCTGCTAATGATGCAGCTAAGGAAACGCTTTATAATTTCTCTTTAAAACCAGCAACATGTGATGCAAATGATGAACAAAAAAATAAAGACCACAAAAAGTATAAGACAAGTGCATATATAAAAATAAAATGCCCAGCGAAAAGTTCGTTGTCTGATCGTTTCTTTGTTGTAGATTGAAGATCCCCCGAAAATGCGAAATGAGACAAAGGATGAGGCGTCTGAATGTGCGGATAATTTTATGATTTCATTTTAAGTAATTCTAAATGAAAATCAGCTCGTTTCTTGACATTTTGCTAATAGTTTGGACATGCGATGAGTTGATTTGTGTTGCATGTTGCAGTTGGGGCAGATATGTATGTAGTAGGATCAGCGGAAATGATTAACGAAGTGCCTCTAGGCTGTCCGTCCTTGACATTTGTCTTTTAGCTGCCTAACAACTGTCACAACATTTCACGATCTGACCAAGAGGAAACAAGCAGGTAACAGAGTTCTAACCGAAACCGAACAGGTTAAGCCCTAATGCCAATCAATGTTTCGGGATTTTTTGTTTTTCGGTTCGGTTTTCTCTGGCTATACTATATGGTTGGGTTTTCCCTACAAAAGGCAATTTACTGGCTTACCTTTTCCCCCCCTGCTATATGTTTTTTTTTGTTGTTGCTTCGTAAATTGCATTTTCTGATTTCATCCGAAACGGAGGAGGATGGTTCATAATCAGGTATGAAAGGTTACGCTTCGCATTTGTGTGTTTGTATTGTCAGCAGGAGCACAGCAGCCTCATTGGAATGTTCACTTTGCCGAGGGATCTCTGTAGGAGAGATATCTCTGCTCGTCCCGCCGCCGTCTTCTTCTCCTTTCTCCGCTACGCATTTGCGTTTCTCCGATTCTCAGTTTCTCGGGGCCCCGAGAATAAGAAGAAAAAAAAAAAAGAAAAGGAACTTAATCTCTTTTGTGCAATATTCCCTGCTTCGACTCTCCGTTGTTTTGTTCTTTTAATGATAAAAAAAAAAAGAAATACAGAAACCTTTACCTTTTTATTTGGAATTTGGTACCTTTTTAATCTCTCCGTCTCCCTCTCGCTCTGCGGCGGCCCTCTCCCTCTTTCTAGTTATATTATTAAAGCATTGTTCTTTTAGTTTTGTGCGATCGCAACCCTTAGCGGGTTTTGAATTTCTTGGGCAGAACAAAAGATTCCCTCTGTTATTTTTATTCTTTTTTTAATTTTATTTTTTAGCCAAACTGCGAAATGAGCAAAAGCGCGCAGACGCAACTGTTTCTAGCAAAGGAGAAAAAAAAGGAGGAATCAAGGGGAGTTTTAATTTTTGGGAATTGCGTTGCATTCATTTTGTAGATATGTTGATGTTGATTGCCGCAATTGCACAGCGTGAATTGATTTGGCACAGCCGACCAAAAAAAGAAGGGGCAGCAAAGGGGGAAAAATCGAACGCAGGGTGGATTTTCCAAGATTATTTACTTAACAGTTGCATACGAGCCACAATCCATTAGCAGCCAGCAGACAAGATGCGTTCCAAATTCCCTCAAATATTTGTTTATGGAACCACTTGGCGCCTTTTAAATGTGATTATTTAGTTAACTGCCTGAATATCTGGCTCGCTGTCTCCCCCTCTTTCACCATTTCTATACCCATCTCTATTTCAGAGTTTGTGTTTGGATTATGGCAACATTTTCGAGCTGCTGCCGCTGCCCGGAATGACTTTCCATATTTGTTCAGTAGTTTGACCCTTTTTAACAGCTCTATATATATGCCATGGAATAGAACATAATGTGTATCTGTTAACCCATTAGGGTGTCCCATCAATTTGCGCTATCCAAAAAGAAATAGAGCCACTAATGCTGAATATCTAATGGTGAAATTAATAATCTAAAGTTTTAATAAGATCAATATGGATTTCGTTCTTCTGGTGTAGGGAATATGGAAATGGAATTTCTCTCTTTCACAAATATTTCACTCTTTCGCTGCGCCTTTATTTATGTGGCGTTACTTATGGGGAAAATTCAACTCATCCCCCGCCCCCCAGAAGCTAACCCAAAATGATTTATGAGCGCCGGCTCTCGAGACGAGATGTCTGCTAAACGCTCTCAATTAAAAAGCAAAGCACAACGGGCGGCTGTAAAATGACAAATTGTGCCACAATTGACAGGCGAACTTGTTGTTGTCAAGCAATCTTTCTTTGATAAAATATTACTCTGCACAAGACATTTGGTTATTTGCACGATTATCTATCGGTTAAAGACCGGATGTTTTTCGGGGCAACGTATTACAATTATCTCTAGTTCAGGTAGGAGAAGCAAAATCTCTTGGCCAATGCAAATATTGACATTATTGTCTCTGCAGAGAGGTCTTCATTCTTTATTTTTCTACCGTGTATGTTGTTGGTTTGTTTGCCTACACAGAAAAGCGTTAGAAGTAGTGTATATCTGAGCGGTAGCTGCCCCAGTGAGTTTACTTTTGGGTCGTAAACTGAAGTATCTGAAGTGGAGTAGTAGTATCTCCCGGGGACCCCTCACTTTTTTTTTCAACCAGAGGGTGTACACTGCACACATGCGAGTATGTGGGGTTATAAAAAGAAACTGTCGGTGTCGGTGGGGGTCGTCGGTGTCGAGAGTCTCTGGTTTTGTTTCTAGTTTCTGCTTGTGTCACCTCAATTGCGGCTGTTTTACTACCGATATTGTGCGCCCATTATAAAGATATAGATAAAAAGAACGGCAACAACAACTACAGCTACAACTACAACTATGACAACGCATTTGCTTTGGTTATTGTTATTGTTCATGTTCTATTTGTGTTTGTTGATGATGCCCGGGTAAAAGTAATCAACGACATTAAACAAGTCCAACATCATCGTCATCGGCTAGGCAAATAAAGTTCTCGTTTTTTTTTCCTGGTGGATTTCGGTTTTGTATTACAACGAAATTATTGTTATTTTTATGAGTGGGTTGCACAGGCACAAGGGCGCGAAAAAAGTTTTTAAAGGGGTTAGAATAGATAGCACCTAAAAACAATATTCTAAAATTAGCCAGAAAGTATTTTCTATTTATTTATATATATTTTTTTGAGAGAGATTAGAATTAAAAATTTTTTTGTAGTTACCCCTTTAAATTTAAGTCCCTGGTTTTGGGTTATTGTGCAAGCTTTTAGGCACCTAAGCGTGGTTCCATTTTCCCATTGTGTAGGTGTGAGAAACCCGATATGGTTTTGTCTCGATTCGAGTTGGGTTTAGTTAGCCTCAGTCTCAGTTTCTGTATCGCTGTTTGAGGTAAGTGCAATTTTGCAGTGACTGAACAATAACATCTTATGTTGTTCTTATGTTTTTGCGGTCACAACTTTTGTTCGCGTCTAGACAAGATTTTCATTTCCCTGATGGAAACCGAAATAATCTTTTACTCGAGAGTTTATGAAAAATGTCTCGGAGCTTTTAGCCTCTCTATCTTCATCTTCGGCTGTTACTTTAATTTGGTTTTTGTTTCTCCTCGGGCCACACTGTACAAATCTTGATAACATTTCCACAGGCTTTCACAAGTCGCCTATCTCTTTCCCAAATATATGTATTTTGTTGCTCTTTTTGTTTGTTTATAATGTTGATGAAGGGATGGGGAGGGGAGGAAAAAACCCGCATGCGGCTGGCGCCGTGGCACGCAACATGGAAATGAAAATAATATAATGCGGCTACGTGCTGCAATTTAGGCGCCTCGCTTTTCAAATCCCCCGCTGACTTTTGGCTCCGCAATTAGATCAACTAATAACAGGGCGGGATTCTCCAGGGAAAATGGTACCAAGTTTTAGGTCGAACTTTGAACTTTTCGGGTTTTAGGTTCTGGGTATGAATAATTTTTAATTAACTGTAATTATTAAATAAATATTTATTACCATATCAAAGAGAAATCATTAAAATTTATTAGACTTCCCATGCCCTTCTTTAATTCATGTATTTCTACGATGACATGCAGTTGTAGTTTTTCCACATTATTTTTGAACACATTTTGCAAATCTTTTTTGCAGCCCTTTTTCTTTCTTTGTTGGGCTGTGTTATCACTGTTATCACTGCACTCTTTTCTCAAGTGGCTGGAGGCTCAATTGCGATCGACAGGCAGCTTTTGACGGCAGCGACAACTCGAAATGCTGGCTACTGTGCGCTGATTCCAAAAGTCGGGCATAAATTGCTTTATGGCCCGGTCCGGGGCTAAAAACTCTGACTGGGAATGGGGGCTTTATGGCCACCACCACATTACTCAAGTGCCTGCAGACCAACAAATGCCCGTACTATTGTCCCTAGTCCGGGGCTATCTCCTCGCACCGCTCGGAATGATTTTATAGCCAAGCGACCTGGCCATAAAATCATGCCCAACCGTGTGTATTGGCATTATAAAACGAATATAGTCCCTAGTCCGCCGGAATGAAAATGCTTTTATTCTCTGTCTTTTATGAACCCAGATTTAGTTGCTTAGTTTTCGCTTTCTTCGCCGAGTCTCGCCGGATCTTTTCGATAATTGTCTGAGGAAATTTCCTGATTGAATCATAATTCGATAGACCTTCCACACTCTTTGTGCTTCCCTCCCTATAAATATATATATGTAGCTTTTATGACAGGGGATGATAGCACGTGGTTGATGAAATGGTACTGATTTCAAAATTCCCCCCATAATCGCGCGCGCGGGAAATTTATGACCACCTACGCCAGCAAGTTTCGATTTTTATTTTATTTTACTTTAGATTTTTTCTTTATTTTGTTTTTTTTTTTGGTATCTTTGGGTTGCCCGCGATTTGGAGACGCGACATTGTAAACCTTTTGCCGGTTGTATAATTGCATTTATTGGCATCATAAAAACAGGCGCTTTGAAGAGCAGTATCTAAACAGTAGTGATTTCTTTTCGCCCGTTGTCGCAAAAAAAGAAACAAAATAAATAAAAAACAAACGAAAAACAGAAATAGAAATTTATGAGGTGCTCATGTGAAACTGATTACGAACGGGGTTCGCTTTGGGTTCTCAGGTTCCGTTTTCAGCGGGCGCGTGACGATTTCCGCAATGACTCGATTCGAGTCCGAATCGAAATAAAACTAAACTATAAATACAAAATTGTCAGCTGCAGACGCCGCCCACGCAATGCAGCAGCAGCAACAGCAGAATGTTGACAAAACTGTTTTGGGGAAAAGCACGGGGAAAATCATTTCGTTTTTATTCCCATTTCCATTTCATTTTCACGCCCCAACTACTGAACATTCGTGTATTTATAGACTTGTCTCATGCTGTGCATTTTAGTAGTTGCCCGCATGATTTATATATTTTTAAAATCATCTCGTTCTCGGTCTCTCTTCAGTTTTTCCATTTTTTTTTTTCGGCGCAGAACTTTAATTAGGATGGACCGCGATATTGTGGTGTGTTCAAGGTTTCGGGTCAGCCATTTTATTTTTTTTCGCTTTTTCCAAAAGGCCCAAAGTGCGTGCAACTTTGGCCGACTGCTTTTCTGCTTTTCATATCAGTTAAAGCCAAAAGCGCGAGCCTGCATAGCGAAACCAGTTTGGCAAGTTCCCATTTTATCTCGGTGTATCTCGGTGTGTGTGTGAGTGTGCAACACCACAACATCAGCCAACCAGCATTTGAAAATGCAACATAAAAGCCAACAGGCAACAACTTTTGCAAAATACCCAACACGCAACTCGGCTCCCCGCATTTTCCCCTCCATTTCTCGATCGCGACTCTTCAATGGCCGTGCTTTGTGTTTGTTATTATTGTATATAGTATGGTGTATGGTATGGTATGGCATGGTACTCACAATGGGGCGTTTTTCTCATACGACCGTACGATCGTACAATGGTATGGAAGTGCCCACATATCTAGATACAAGTCTTCCAAGTCTTTCCCGCCTTGCCGTCCGTCCGTGTGCAAAGTGTGTAATTATTAGCTGCACATGCCTCAGTTGATTTCAAATTGCCGTTACTGCCTTGGACCGCTGGACTCGGACTCGGACTCGAACTCGGGTCTGTGTGGGTTTATAGAGGCTGGAAGATCATAGTTGCAGCTAGGGCATTATTTATGCATCTTAAAAGCTATCAAAATGGTACTATTACAATTAAATGTTCAAAGGATTCATAAGGCATAGTGTGGCCATGCGTCTACTTAACAATCAATGCGACCATTCGCTGGAAAATTTTGTTTAAATTATAAATTAGTTGATTCTTAAAATAAAAATAACAAAGTATTAGTTTTTTGATCCATACATTGGCTATTCCCAATCCCTAGTTCCTATTCTCCTTTCAGGGTCATGCCTTTTATTTACCGGGACAATGCAAACCCTGTCTATGGAACTCCCTCCTGTAGGGCAACCTTGTTGCATGTTGCTGGGTGGTCAACCAGCAACAACTTTGCACAAAAACACAAAACAACACACGCATTTGGACAAGGTCAGGTCCGTCGACCGTTATATAAGATATCGCAGCGGGTGTTTGTCGGCGATATCTGTTTATCTAACGACCGAAGACCCGAGCTCATCTCAACCATTTATTATGGCTCAGTTCCGTGAGAGCCAAGACCAAAAACCAAAGCCAAAACTCTGAATTCGAATCCGACAAGAGATTTCAAATAATTCGCACAGCATTTTGATGACCTTCTCTTCTCGGTCTTCTCGGTCGGTCTGTGTGGCATTTTATCTAGCCAGATATTGCCTTTGTGATCTTTATCTAAGTGTGTGGTTTATTTTTATATCTCTGTGTGTTCGGGATTGTTATAAAAGCGAGAATCTCTTTTATGGTCACAGCGAGTCGCATCGTCACCTCTTCGGATCTCTGGGGTCTGGGTTTTTGGCTTTGGCTTTGGCTATGGCGTTGGGTCTGCTGATGAGCTGATGAGCGCACAAATGTTGCGTTTCCCATGCTCGCCGTGGAACCGATTTGCTTATGGTTGCTGTTGTAGTTTTTCAATGTGTACAATATTTTGGTTTGGCATGAGCTTATCGGCGGCCAGGCCATCATAAAATAGCAAAAAAAAGAGTGGAGAGGAGCCGGCTTTCGACCAGGACAGCTGGCCATAGTCTGTATAGAGGGGAAACATTTCAAAAAAATTAAATAGAAATGTATTTTATAATTATAATCATCTATAATTTTGCTCTGTGTAAATTTAACACTCACTAACCATCGTCCTTCTCATTCTTTCTCTTTGCAGATAAGATCACAGAAACCCTATTATACCGCAGATCCCGAAGTCGACTCACTGGTAAGTAAAACGAAAAAAAAGCACGAAAAGAAAAAAATAAAGAAACCAAAGCTGGCAACAAAGTTGACACAACAGCCTCCTTCTTGGCAGCAAGTTGCCAAAGCCAAAGATCATGGCTATTTTTTTTCACTCTCTGTGTGTGCCTGTGTGTGTGTGTGTATCACCTTGACCCAAAACAACGACGACAATTGAATAATTTTCTTTTATTTAGAATAAATCACAGTGAATTTAGCAAAAGCCACAGCCAACGAACGAACGCAATTTATGAGCATTTGTTCGTCAACGTGAACTGAGTTGTTTAGTCATTTTATTGGACAGCGTTGCCATACTTTTCGCTCTTGCTGCTCTCGGGGGATATATGCACGGATCTCGGGGGCGATATCGGGGTATATAGAGGGGCGGCTGGCGTCGAGCGAACCCATGCGAACGACAATATGAAGCAGAACGATTTAATGATGCATATGACATTTTTGCACTCTCTAAATGGGCTGCCTGCCTGCCAGCCTTGGGTGTGCAAAAAAAAAAAAGAGTAAAAAATGCAAAAAATAACAACAATGGAGCCAACGTCTTGACTTTAGTAGAATATGCATTCGCTATCTTGGACCAGAGGGACGGTCGGAAAAGGGGAGCGACGCGATCCAAGGCAAATGCCAGCAGCACAACCTTGGAGATCATCATGATCGCCGCTCATGATGAGCCAAAGTCTTCGAGGAGCATTATTATAGTTTTGGGGGAACAGAACTGAACGGAACTCATGCTAATCTGCCAAAGGAAATGATCGTTAAAAGAGCATCGAGATTTCGAGCATTCTCAGATGGGGCAGCACATTTCTGAAGATCAGCCAGATATAAAGAAGCGAAATGAGTCAGTGGTGCACTGGAAAACAAGCAAATTATTTCGGGAAAATATAATATTAGGATAATATAATTAAATAAATAATTTCGAGAATTTAATTCGTTGATTCAAGTAAATAATTTTTTTTATTAAAAATCCTTTGACCACCCTACTTAAAAATAAAGTATTAAAATAACTTCCCAATATCCTTCTTTTTTTGTTTTTTTTTTTCTGGCATTTCTCAACCCCTCCGAGTCATAACAATTTTTATGGGCATGAGTTCGGGAACAAGGGGTCCATGAGGGGGGGCCAAAAAGAGATCATTTCGGAGGCAGCATCCAGCAGAATGTAAATCAAGACGGAAATGCCGCGTGCAAAAAGTGCAAAACGAGCCATGCAATTGGCTAGCAGCTAAGCTAAAGTCGGATGATGAACAGAAAGAAAACAAGAGAGAACGCTATAGTCGGGTTGGTGTCCCGACTATCTAATACCCGTCACTCAGCTAAAGGGAGTGCAAACGCTGTGTCGGGTTGGTGTCCCGACTAATAATCGTAACTCAGCTAAAGGGAGTGCGAGGGAGATAGATATATGTTGACAATTTATAAAGCGTATAACTTTTTAATGAATGGTCCGATTTGAAAAATGTCTTCTACATTTCGATAGGTATAAATATACACAACAAAATTGCATTTATACTTCTCAGAAATCTTTAAAGATGTGGGCGCAGGACCCATTTTAAAATCGTTAGTGGGCGATTGTGGGCGATTGTGGGCGTTAGAGGGGGCGTGGCGCTCGGCTAAAATAAACTTGCGCTGCGTAGGAAGCCAAAGAATATGTGTGGGAAATCTCAACCTTCTAGCTTTTGTAGTTTCTGAGATCTCAGCGTTCATACAGACGGACAGACAGACAGACAGACAGACAGACAGACAGACAGACAGACAGACGGACAGACGGACATGGCTAGATCGACTCGGCTAGTGACCCTGATCAAGAATATATATACTTTATGGGGTCGGAAACGCTTCCTTCTAGCTGTTACATACTTTTGCACGAATCTAGTATACCCTTTTACTCTACGAGTAACGGGTATAAAAACCCAGCTGTATATATGTGCATGTGTAGCCGAGAGTCTGGCGGAGTATAAAGAGATTATGGGCAAAACTAATTTTAATTGCCGGCAGTCGTAAATGTGTCACTCACTTACCCACTCACTCACGGCGGAGTTTCCTCTGGTGGCCCTAATTTTATGCACTTGCAGATTAGTTTATTAGTTGTAGTACAAAATCACTGAAAAACCCCCGAGTTCCTCCTGTTTTTCCCTCCACCAGTGCAACATATCCCTCAGAGCTCATAGCTCATAGATCGTCTTGGCCATGGCCGTGTGTGTCTATCTTTTGGCCCGCTCGCGTCTGCGTACTTTGGCCATAAATCATTTTGGCATGCCACTCTGTGGCTGCCACTCCCCCCTTTATCCGCTATCGTGTTTGAACATTTAAAAGTGCATTTAGTAACACTCACTTAAAGGAGAAGGCAGAAATAATAAAAAGAAACCCCTTGCTATAAAATGTTTATGGCATGTCTTGGGTTAAAATGGAATTCCTGGCGGTAGCTGCAACAATAACCAAAACCAAACAGGCCACACAGCAGCAGTTAGCAGCATCGTAAAAATGTCAAATGTCAAAGTGATGTTTTAATTAGCGGTCTGGTCACACCAGCAAAAATGTTTAATGTTTGAGTGTTTGTGAGTGATTGGTTTAATCAATAAAATGGTTGAAAATGTATATTAATTTAATTTGTTTTAAATGTATTTATTTAAAACTTTATTCAGATCGTTTGGTCACACTAATAATTTAACTTTCTTTTTAAATACTTCTAACTAATGTTTTTGTCTTTTTGCTTTCCTTACAGATGGTGCAAGCAATACAAGTACTTCGGTTTCACCTTTTAGAATTAGAAAAAGTAAGTAACGATTTTACAGAATATTTCCCTAATAGTACTATACCATTTAAGCCAGCTTAAACATTGCCATAGCTTTAATATCAAAACCGTATTTATGCAACCTCATCAAAGCAGCAGAAAAAGCAGCATTTGTTTAGTCATTGCAATTAACTGAAAAAGCCAGAGAGCCAGCCAAGCCGGGCCAAGCAATCATTTATCAACGCCCCAAAAAGACCACCCAAAATGTTTAACCAGGAACCCAGGACCCAAAAACACAGTCTCCAGCCAGCAGGCCCATAAATAAAACCGGGCCCAAAACGCCGTGGCGAAAAATGCAGGCAAATAGTTGCCAACGGGCGCGCATTTCAATTACCAACATTTGTGTTGACATTTTATTGAGCCATGTTGCAAAAACGGGGTGAAAAGGAGCATAGAGGGAACATAGGAGTCCCGCAGCAGGCGGCCATATATATGTATATCTATCTGCAGTTGGTCTAATACACTTGCAAAATGTCTAAATTAAAGGAGAAATACGTACGAAAAAAAAAAACGCAGCTGAAAATTGAATTAATTGCCAATCAAAGTGAAATATTTGTTTATAGGAGGAGAAGGGGGCCTAGACCACAAATATTTGGCCAGCGGCAGGTGTTTTTTTGTAGTTGGTTACAGTTTCATGCGTAAGATAAAATAAAAAGGAAAATATTTTCTAAACAATGGAATGCATTCAGGTTTTCGGCTTCTCTTTTGTTGTTGATACATGAGGTGTGATGACTGCAGAACTTCCCCTCTCTCGATTTCCTAACATAATTCCTAGATAACGCCGCGCAGCTACATAAATTATTCTCCCAACTAAAAAATGGGCGGAGGGGGAGGTTTTATGCTGAGAGGGTTCTCGACAACACCTACTTGATTATTAGACACTTTATTGTCTAAATGGAAAAATTACAGGTTGCCTAATTTGTTTTAATTTCAAATAATATGCAAGCGGCTTCGGGTGCGTGTCTCTCGGTCCCTGTGACTTAATGGAAGTTGTTCCTCAAACGTGGTCGTAATTAATGCCGGCTACCCCCCCTTTTTTCTGTATTTTGTTGTATTTTTTTGTTGCTGCTGTGCTGAGAAAATTAATTAGGCAAATGCGCAACGAAGCGTGGAGCGAACCTAAACCGAAACCGAAACTGAAACCGAAACCCAGAGCCGGAGTTTAAGTCTCTGAGGCTGAGAGGCTAAGCCGGCCAGAAAACCCGTCCGAAAGTCGCTCTTCACTCTTTTTTTCAATTAAGTCTTAAGTAAGAAATTATGCAAAACATTCTACACGAACCGAAAATAAATAAGCAGAACACAAAACGCTCAGGGAATTTATAGTAGAAAAGAGTAGATACCATCGATAAAATGGGCTTTAGTAAAATCTTAGCCACTGATAATGATCAAATACTTGACTGAATAAATCGTACAACATTTACTATCGTTTGCTTAGCCCTACGCTAGACCTTAAAGTCATTTGCTGTGGAATGTGAAATGCAACATACCTTTTCTTTTCCTTTCGAGAGATTAAAGACCTTGGATATAGGCTAATGACAGCGAAAAGGAATCGAACGAAGAAGAGTCAATCAAGGTGCAATTAGTAGTTAATCACCAACTAACGCTTTCTAAGTTCGCAAAACAAACAAAGGCACTAAACTAGTGCAGTAAGCCAAGTTAGTCAGTCAGTTGGCCAGCTGCAATTTGTTGCACCCTGTATAGAAAGCCAGAAAAAGAAGGAAAAAAAAATAAAACAGTCAAGATCTTTATCAACATCACAGCAGCGGCGGAGACCACGACAGGTTTTTGTTTTGTCATTTGTCACTCACACAGCTTGCGACACACACGAAACCAACAAAGAACTGTAGCAACTTGTACAAAAACCTAAAAATCGAACAAAAAATAAAGCATAAAAAACACATTCATTTATATGCAGCCAACAAAGTGCAGCGGTCGATTTTTGGTGTATAAAATAAATATATAAATGCAAAGAACAAAAAAAACTACGAAGAAATACAAAATATACTTAAATAAAATGTGCGGGTTGACTTGCAAAAAAAAAAACTGAAACAAAAAACATCTATATGGGAGCGAGTAAATGTATATCTGTATCTGTGCATATTTGTTGCCGCTGCTAAAAACAACGGCAGCGAACAGAATCAGTTAAAAAGACGTTTTCAAGACTTGTGTCTGTCAAAAACTGGTTTGGCAGTCTCAGTTTCTCAGTCTCGAAGCTCCAGGCTTTGGGCCCCAGTCTCCATAGTCTCCGTAGTCTCCAGCTTTTTAGCTTTTTAGCTCCCCAGCACACGGACAATTCTCGTCACAGAGTCACATGCAAAAAATAAAAATACAAAAAATATAAGGGGAGAAAAAAAATCAAACAGGCAGGCAGGCACATTGCAATTGACAAACAGACAGTGGGACGGACGGTGGGACAAACCAACAAACCGACTGATGGACAGTGGGACAAACAGACAGAGCCGGAGACACAACACGTTGGGTCAGTTGCACACGCTTCTCGGACGGCAGGGGGTATATATATATATGTATATAGGTATATCGAATCGGGGAATCGGAATCGGTTGGGTTAATGCCGGCATGGGGGCATAACAGAACCAGCAACAACAACAAACGATTTGGGGGCCTTGTTTTTGATGGCTTGGCCAAGATCGCTTCGGGATCTCTCGCTAAAAAACACCAGCAACATCGCCATCGACAGCTGTGTACTTTTGGTTTTAGCCGATGATGCAAGCTGAGGGATGCCAAAAAAAAGACAACTGATGATGTTCTAGTGGAAGAAAATATAAATCAGGGAATTTAGAAAATATTTATATTTGTAAAACATATGCAATTTGAGCAAATTAAAATTCATTAAATTAAATATATATTTTTTTTATTGTAATAAAGTTTAAGGATGATACCAAACTAGATCAAAATTAATAAGCTATTATGGGTACTTATGCAATAAATATTACTAATAATTGCACTGCATTTAAATGTCATACAGAGAGCTCAGTAAACTTGTTAGACAGTACAGACTGTGTGTTGTGTTGGAGGTTGCGTGCCGAGACTTTAGATAGGGGGAAAATACTCGTATAGTTGAAGCTATCTATGAGCGGAAATCGAGAATTACCACTGCGCAGATTGGAGCGATTTGCATCGAGATTAGAATAGAGGAAGCTGCGAGGGAAGCGATGAGGGGGGCTAACGGGGCGGGAAAAGCCAATGTTGCTGCTGTGAAAAGTTTTGCTTAACAGGATGTACAAATGAGCGTCAGCATTTACAAGCAACGCCCTCTGGTTGCTGCCGTTGCTGCTGTTGCTGTTGCTGCTGTCCATGTCCGCCTGTCGCCCTTGCTGCTCGTGGGCCCACCCAATGTGCAACAGCAACGTCAAAAGCAACAGCAACAGCAACAGCAACAGTAATGTGCAACAGCAACATGGGGGCCACTGGCAGTCATAAATATCGCAATGAGCCGTTCGAAAATGTCACATACAATGCTGACAAATTAATCAAAAGTTATCAGCCAGCCGGCATCGAAAGTCCGCGGGTCTCTGAAGGGCCCAAGTCGCAGCAGCAACAGCAACGGCAGCAGCATCGCATAAACATATCAATTTGGTGGGCGCTCTCATGTTGCATGTGCGCAGCCACAGCGGCAACATGTTGCTGGCGTGCTAATTGCACGCTTTATGGATATTGTTATGGTCACTTTGACAGCTACAAATGCAATCATAAAACCGAGTCGCCTCCACCAGCAACATGTTGCTGCTGTGCTGTTGCTGTTGCTGCTGTGGAGAAGCTTATCAGCGACGGCGACAAATTTGACATTGTCCTGTCATAAACCAGTTATCATCGTTTTATTTTTTTGGCTTTTGCGTATATGTTTCTGTTTTTCTTTTATTTTTGGTGACAATAACATTGAAAGCAGCCTGCAAACGAGTTTGACAAGTTTGGGCAATGGGCAACAAGTTAATAGCCTGGCTGTTGCAGCTTTCGCAGGCCAAAAAAATCGAAAAGAAAAGAAGCAGCAGCAGCAACAGCAACACAGCAGCAACAACAAACAATTTGCATAAGCAACGCGCACTTTTTCGTAAATTAAATGCCTGGCCCCGGTTAAATGGAGCACCCTGTTGTTGCCGGTTGTGCTGTTGGTGTTGCTTGTGTTGCTGTTGTTGCTTGTGTCTGCCAGCCATGGCCCAGTGCAATTAATTTCTTTTTAGCCGTGGCGGCGGCTGCATTCCTCTCTTTGTTGCTGCATATTTGCATATATGCCTGACTCACACTCACTTTGGCCTTATCGCATTTGTTTTATCACAAACACACACTCACACACAGACACAACAGGGCCTTAAAAACGCATTCTGTTTGGGCCAAGTTGTCTTCATGGGCCTTTTTCCCGCTGACGATGACGATGACGCCAGCGATCTTCACTCCATGTTGCTAATGCGAGTGTTGCACGTGCTGCTGCTGTCTCATGTTGCTGCTCGCTGCTCGGCTGTTGCTGTTGTTGTTGCTTTTGGCCTGGTTGGTTATTTGGCTGAAAGTGTGCCCCGGGGCTAAGCTGCCTGCCTCCTCGGCCGGACACTTCCTTTTCGGCCAGTGCATTATTTCGTACCTCTATGCATATTTATGGGGCTCGGTTAGGAGAGGTAAAAGACTCTGTGCCTTCTACCTCAGCCATTTTTGAGTGCCATCATCATGGTCATGGGTCTGTGTCTGTGTCTGCGTCTGTGTCTGGGCGATGGAGTCCAGGTTGGAGTTGGAGTTTTCAGGTAACGCATCAAAAGCAATTTGCATGCCATTTGCAGGGGAGTGAGGTTGTTCGGGGCAACTGGGATGAGCAGGTTTCTGGTTAAAACAAGAATGCGATGGCGCTTAGTATGGCAATGTTTAAGCTGGCTTCAAGTGTAGATATAAGCTATATAATATTTACTTGTCACTGAATTTTACAAAGCAGATGATCGAAAGGTGTAAAAGAATATTAAATCAATTTAGCCAAAGATATAAAATCTTTCGATGATCTACTGTGTTTTAGTAACAATTCTAAATGACAAGATTTTACCCTAGATAATAATTATAATTAGAACAATCCTTACTAGTACTAAGCCCCCTGATAAATATCAATGACTGATGTTTTATGGAGCACCCCCCTTAGAGAGTAGCCCCCAAGCACCCACAACCAACCCATGAAGCTAAAAAATCGACTGAAAACTGATGATCTATTCTCTTCTCTCTCTCTCTCCCTCTCTCTTCTACGAACTCGTTTAGGTACACGAATTATGCGATAACTTCTGTCATCGGTATATATCGTGTTTAAAGGGTAAAATGCCAATAGATTTAGTGATCGACGAACGGGACACCACCAAACCACCGGAGTTGGGATCGGCGAACGGAGAAGGGCGCAGCAATGCCGACTCCACATCGCACACCGATGGAGCTAGTACACCAGACGTTGTGAGTACCCCCTTCGCGGGAGCACATGGTCCTATATTGGCGAGCTACAATGCGGTGGTGCACCCATGTTCGTAGTACGATAACGACCTTCTTGCAAAAACGAAGCGGGTGCTCACAATGCCCTGGGATTAAATGAATCAATAATAATAATTGCGATCAATCAATACGAAAAATGCCAATCGAGCGAAATAACCGAGCGATAACCACAAAAAAAAAAAAAGAAAGTAAAGAAAAGAAATGTTGCTGCACACTGTATAAGCAAATTAAGTAAAATTAATTCACTTTGTGCGAAACAAACATAATATTAATATTGATGAATTCAAATCCAAATCCGAACGCAGAAGAAGTTGTACGTCATTATGAACACACACAAAACACCCACACACACACATTGTAAATTAGTCAGAATCAGAACAAAAAAAAAGAACACAAAAAAGCGAAGAAAGCCCCGAAAAAAAACTAAAAAACAAACACAATAAATATATTAATAAATTCAGAAATACAGAATCAAGCGAAAAAGGAGAGCAGAGGAATTTCCTAGCCGGAGCAGCAACAGCAGCAACATCTACAGCAACAGCAACATGCAACACGCAGGCGGCAACAACAGTTGCAGCACGGCAGCAACATCGGCGGCCAGCAGCAACCGAGGACAGTAACCGACATGAGTGACTAACCAGCGACAAACGAGCTTCCAAGAGGCTTCGGCCACGAATCCGAACAGAAAAAAAACAAAAAACGAAAAAACAACGAACCGACAACGACGAACGTATAATATCGACTTGCAGAACCGAACAACGAACGAATCACGAATGTATCTCATGGATACCCATTAATGTTGCTATTGCTGCCACGGCCAGAATTTGTTTGCTCTCCTCTGTACAGTACAGTAAATGCCATAAATTTAAGTACCAAAAACTGCGGACAGCCGTGGCCAGGGCCAAAGTGAGTACACTTTTGCCAGCGCCGCGCGCCTTCCCAGTAGTTCATCTCACTCCCTCTCAAAGAAATCAAACACGTAAATACACAAACATCAGTTTATATATCTCGAGCAGATTGTAAATGATAAAGATAAACAGACACAAAAACAAAACTAAAACAAATACAAAAAAAAAATGAACAAAAGCAACTGAGCAACAATAATTAGAGCAACAAACAATTTCGCTTAATTTGTAAAAAGTACCAACAACTAAAGAAACAAAAGCCAGATAAGAAAAGCATAAAGTAATTGAGAACTAAATTACAACAATATGAACAATGTTCCAGAACTTCGTTTTTGCAAGAGGCCCATATAGCTCGCCAATATATTATTAATTATTATTAACAAAAAACCCCAACACTCACACACACCATTAACCAACTATTTTTGATTATTTTTCTTTACTTAACCCACACTGAACACCCCCTCAAAAAAAAAAAAAAACAAAACCAACCAACAAGAATTGAAGTAATGAACACTTATATTATGAGAAAGTTTACTAACCCCAAAACTAACCAATTTTTAACAATTTTACATATGCACCTAACTCTATATAGAGTTCTATATAGAAACTATATATAAATACCCACAAATACGCATATATTATATATGTATACTGATATGATATGATATACGAGAGCTGGAATGACTCAGTCAGTTAGACAGTGGGATCGATAGGTTCACCTATCGGTTTTTGAGTTTGTAAACTTGTAAATACTTGACATCCCCCGTCCCCTCCTCTCTGAACAATAACAGCAACAACAACAACAAGCAGACACTGACATAGCCAAAAAAAAAAGAGAAAACAAAACAAGAAACAGATAAAAATACCATACACAGAAACAGAGTTTTATACCCCAACATTTCTAAAATCTCTCTCTATCTATATTACGAAAATTCTTACGTAAATCTGTGCCAATTACTTGGAAAATGATCACAGCCCAGCACCCAAGACTTTTCACCGCTGGAGGAGACCTATGCCAGCTATCGCATCAAACACGAGGCGGACTTCTAGTCCCGCCCGACTTTTTATCCCTTCGAGCCCCCCAAAAAAGTTCTCTATAAATATACTGAAAAAAATCTATCTAACATAGAGATAACGCTTAGCCATGTAGTTTGTAATTAAAATCAAGTCTAGGCTGCGCTTAAAGAAATTCACTCGCAAGTGAAGAAGGAGAAAATGAAACAAACGCTAAGAGTATAGTTAATTCCTAGAAACTTCTAAACATATTTTCTATGCTTAGTTTTCAATATTTTTTTTTGTTTTTCACTATGTTTTCGGGAATTTTTCACTTTAGCAAACGTGTATACGATTTTTCAAAAACAAAACGTCCTTTCCCTTCGCGTGTTTTACAACACGGGAGAGAACTTGCCAAATAAAAAGAAAAATAAAAAAACAAAATGAAACTATGAACACATATTTTCGTTGATCTTTTTTGTTCAACTCTCATCATGCAACGCATATACGTAAAAAGAGATACCAGAAAAGAAAACCCAACCTGAGTTCAAATGCAAAGTATACGAATAAAACTTTATTGTTTATTAAATAAAAATAAAAATGAAAAAAAAAACTTAAAGTTAATTTAATTAATTGAGGATTGCAATGCGCCTATACGAACGACATTTTAAATGAGCCGATAAACTTTCAAGAACATTGATATACGTAATTCAACAGCAACAATACTAAAACAAACTAAACAAACTTTAAGCATTTACTAAAGCAAATCGAAAACTACGCGATACTATTATTATTAAATAAATATAAAAGGAGAGAAAGCTAATGTAATTTAATTGAATTAGAGAGCAGTCGAGAAACTTAGAGACCCCTCGCTCCCTCCCCCAATTGTATACTATAGCGTACGTTATATAGTTCTTAGTCAGGCCCCAAAAAATCCCAAAACCCCAACACTTAGGAGTTGTATGCTAGGCGTAAATTAAACTTGCAATCGAAACTCAAAGATACGGAAAAACGTTAGCAGCAAACCCTTCTTCTAGCTACCAAAACCAACCAACAAAACACTTTCTACTGCTAATTTCTACTACTATTTTGAGTTGTAGACCTACTAAAACCAACAAAACTACAAAAAATGTACTTAAATCGAACTGCGATCGCAGTTCCTCAGCTATATGGGCAGTCATTTGTATACTTAGACTATAGTCGAACCGATTCCCAGCGGTTTAATATAGCCAACTAACTAAAAACCAACAACAACGTGAAAAGCTTTTGTACTATTTTTTCAAAACTACAAAACAAAAACGTTCTTGCAAAATTATAAAAGAAATTTGCAAACAAAAAAAATTAAAATAGTTGTTGTACTTTGTCTCAAACCCAGAAAAAAATAAAAAAAAGTTGTATGTAAGAAACTAAAATTAAACTTGAAAAATTGCTGTAATTATGTAATAATTTTTCTGTTAGCATAATTCGCCGCTTTTTAGTTAAAAACAAAACAAAACACTGTTGCAAAAAATGAGAGAAAATACGAAGATAAACACTTTGTTTCCTATGATTTTAGTGTGAGCTTTTTGCATTTTCGTTAAATATTATTTTTAATGATTTTTGTATTAAATGTTTTGCTACCAAAAAAAAAAACTACAAAAAGAAGCAAAATTTTTTATTGTTGCATTGTAAAAATAAACATAAAATACAAACACAAAATACTGAAACTGAAATACGTAATTGCTTTAGGTGATATTTTATAAAAATATAACAAAAGTAAAAATAATAATAAAAACACTAAAATTAAAAAATGATGCAAAATATATACGTAATATGTTTTAAAAATCGAAAGAAGGCGCTTTTTTGCTTTTTACTATTTTTAAAATATAAAATAAATAAATAAATTAACCATAATTTGAGCATACATTTTTTAATCATTATTATTATTATTATTGTTTTTACAAACAAAACATTTTATTTAGTTTTTAGCAAAATTGTAAAATGAAAGTAAATGTTATAAGAAATGAAGGAGAGAAAACGCAATCAAAAATTGAGAGAAGAAAGAAAAGTAAAATATAAATCCAACAACAAAACAACCAGCAACTTCTATACGATATACGAATACATTTTAATGTAATATTTTTAATTATTTATATGTATACTAATAATATAATTAAAACAAGGAAAAACAAAAACCCAGAAGAATTAAGTAAAAACAAAAAAGAACTACAGAGTAAAGTTTAAAGAGTTAGCCAATAAATATATGAAACAAACGAAGAAACAAAAACAACAAAAAAACCAAAATATATTTGAAAAGTATAAAACAAAATGAAATTGATTTTTTTCTGACTACCTTAGTATATAAGCAAAAATGGATTTTATGGATGGAGCAAAATGGAACTGGGAATATTAGAAGATGCGATTGAAGAAGATCATCATAACTGGATATTCTGCCGATAAGACCAAAGAAGGATGACCATAAAAAAGGATGACGCTCTTTTGCAATTTTTAGATCAACATTTAGGTGATCTTTATCTGAAAGCGGAGAACTCAAGATGGATTCATGTGTATCGCTCAGGGACCTTTTCTACCTTTTCAGCTCCGCGCTTGGAAACGTCTCATTAACTACCGAGATCTTTGTAAGCAAGGGTATACTTCTCTTTAGGTTTTCAGGAAAATCGGAACGGGACTTTCGATTTTTGAACTGACCTCAAGAGAGTCTTACTGAATTGCTTGAATCGATCTTGAAAAGTTGTACAAATATGTGCCTAAAATACTAAAGATTTTGTGACTTTCAACGCAGACTAGGGATCATATCAATAATACCTTTTATCACCTCAATTTAAATATATTAAAATACTTTTTTGAACCATATTTCCAATATAAATGCCTCATTACCAAAACTACTAATTGAAAATTGAATAAAATTAGTTTTAAGAAATATCTCGATCAAAACAATATATTCCTCATGAATTGCTGACCATTTTGTGTGATATTTTTACCCTGTTCAGGAACTGGAAACTGGACATAATTCTGGCTCCTGTTCCATTAACAGCGGGTGTAAGCTGAGAGGAGTTCGGCTCGTATTACTCCAGTTTCAGTTCCAGATCCAGGCGAAAGACAAAAACCAGCGGCACGTGTAAGCCGCTTAAAGTGCAGAGGGAGGTTTTCGATCCAAAAAAAAGAAAAAATTGGGGGTGCTGCAGGGATCACTGGATAAGTGCGCCAGATCTCTGAAATTCGAGCAGTGAACCCGATCGTATCGGCCAGCTGCCGCGAGGGGGAAAGAACGTGTGTAAAACACCTTAAATGACTCTTTTTTTTCTCTCAACCGACCGGGTTTATTTTCCCTTTTCGGGTGCGTGTTAGATGAGTTCGTTCGCTTAATGGTGGCTACATGTAATTTGGCATTTTGCGTGATTGCCCGGGGCGTGTTTCTGGGCTCTTCAAAGTCAAACCAATTCCAAGGCATTTTCACCGAAGAAAATGCTCTTTCGTGCTGCTTGATTTTTTATATTAATTTCTCGAGCAACGCCCCAAAACAAACGCACACAATTTTCCAAGCAGCGCGCAAAGTAACCTATAATTTTAGAGGCATTAAGTCAATCCATTCCCTTTCCACAAACTCTCCAACTGGTTTTGAAATCGAAGACCCCAACTCTGATGAAAAAGTACGAGAAAAACATATCAAAGGATCCAAGACTTTGGGGCTTTGGCTTTGGCTCATTAGCCGCACTCTCACCTCAAGACTTTTGGGCCGAAATACGAGTTAGCCAAAAGGATTTCGTTCTTATAATTTACTTTTATGTGTGTGGGTTTTTTCTTGTTTGTTTTTTTCTGTGGCTTTGCGGCTTTTGGCGTCGTCATACTGTCTGCGTTTTGTGGCACAAACGAAACCGCAGCGCAGACTTGTCCCGAAATTTGTGCATTCATTTGTGAAACGAAGACGGACCATCGCCAAGTCCAAGGCTACAATTAATAAACCAACAGGCCACGAAAGCCCTACAAATGCCCAAAACAAAAACCCAGAAACTTTGATCTTTTTTCTTTGGGGAACGAGGCCTTAAATACCCTCGTGTGATTTTTTGAGTTCACCTTTTCAAATGAGTTCATTATGACAAATTAGAGGAATTATAATCACATTATGTTTCCAGAGTGAAACATTTTAAAGTTCTTTCGACTTTAAGCCTTTGCGAATATACCCGTATATTACAGGGTATTTAGCGAAGCCCAAAAGTCATGCGTGCTTGACGATTTCGCCCTTGCGATCCGTCGATCTTTTGTTATTATGTATGAAGTGTCGCGTTGGCAGGAATTTCTCTCAAAAGCAACAAAAGCAGACAATCCACAGACGGTTTTTTGGGGGGTGGACAAGGGGGTGACCGCAAAAATGTCATCACTGCTAATGTTTCAATGCAGTTGCCACAAGATTTCGTCTGCGGCTGATCTGATGTTCCTCCTTCTTTTTCCCTTTTTTTTTGTTAGCTTTCGACAGCAAATTTTTTGATCAGAATTTGGTTTTGTCAGGGGAATTGCAAGCACTGAAAGCGTTGAATGCGATACCTTTTTGGGTCACCAAAGATCTTCGGGTGGCGTGAAAAGACATGCCAAACTGACGGCTCTCCAATTTTATGACTATCAGAAAGAAAAAAATGAAACCTATCAAAACTTTTGCCCACAAAGTTAATTTCTAGTCGTAAACATTTTATAGAATATCTTACCATTTTAACTGTTTCACTCAATTCCAGGAAATCGTAGAAGCTGGACAAAAAGCATTTTTGAAATCTTAATGAAATTTCGCTGCTCAAGTGTTGCCTTCAAAGGGCGGCGGCCGACAGGAGGAAATACTCTACCTGATTGTGTCAACCCTTTTTTTTTGCGTTTATTTTGTATTCCTTAAGTTTTTGCCATGATTAAGAGGGGAGCAGCGCGGTGGAGTCGCCGGCCAAAAAGTATCAATTCAATGGAAATTTATGCCGTAAAAATGCCACAAGACAAGCCACCAAGTCTCAGTCTTTGTCTTCGGCTGAAGCATTTTTTCCAATGAACACAGTTTCGGTTTCATTTTTTGCGTTTTTGGCTTTGTGAAATATTTTTGCACTGCTCCTCTATCGCCTGGCCATTCAACTAAGCTGCAAATCGGTTTAAGAGCTTAACGAAAAGGCGGTGGAAATTATACAAAGTCCGATGTGGACGGTTTACTTTTGTGTCATTAGGCAAATGCAGCACCTCTCCCAGGTTTTTTATTTTTTAATCTTTTCTTTTTTTTCCCGTATTTTTTGCCATGCTCACCTGAGGGAAGCCCTATGTGGGAGCTCAGCTCAGCTCTGAACAATTACCATTAATTACCCGGCGTATTCGCTGCACTTGGCACCGCAAATAACGCCACTGAAGCCCGCTCGAATATCAAAAGGAAAGGCCAGGACAATTTACGCTTGTTTTAAACTCGATTAGTCAGCAGTTGATCCTATCATCGGATCACTCTCCCCTGATCCCTTTCGACCCCCATTGAGTGCTTTTCAATTACCAACACGCAACTGACCACAGAGAAAATATAAAAACGGGGGCCCTTAAGTCCGCTTAGCCACTATTGACCACTTGTAATGTGTAATTGAATCCCGCTTGAAGGGCATTCTATTTCCTATGATTCAAATATCAAAAAGGGCAGCCACTGACCGCTGCTAATTGAATTTAGCTCAAGTCTTTTAGCTTTAACCCTTTTCCAAAGTCCTTAGACAGTGTCTTTTTGCACAGGAAAAATTAGAAGATGTTTCGAGATATTTCCGGTCTTAAAATTGACCAAATAAATTTATTATTTAAATAAAAATTTCATAAATATTCATAATTTTTAAGGAATATTTTTTGGATAAATACTTATAATTTTGTTTTTCCTGCATTCTGATTTTTTGCCATTGAACTTTTGATTGATTTTCGGGCCTCAAACTGCAATTTGGCTCAGGCTTTGGCCAGAATCTTTTTGGCTAATTTTGGCTCTGATTCAGTTGACTGATTTTTTTCCTTCGCCCACATCTCCGAGGACATAAATCACTTGCACTTAAACCCGCTGCTGGCGACGTCTCCGTTTCTATCTGTATTTCGCCCCGTCTATCTGTCTGTTTGCCTTGGCCATTAGGCCCAGTCCTGGAATTTGGATTTGGGTATATTTTGGAAGGGTGGCACTCCCTTTGTTGTTCTGCTGGCATTTCTATTGGCCCGGAAGCTGTGCGGCCAGCATCTACAAAATAGTCGTCGGCCCAAAAGTTATTTCTGTGGGGGCCAGCAATTTTTATTGCCTTTTTGTGCTTTATTTCCTGCGCACTATTTTCGGGGGCCC